ATTAATGAATTATATTAAATAATTGCTTGTAATATACATGTATTATTTTATTAAACGAAAAACTTTTAATACAAATTAATCTTCTACCATTAACATCTTTACTAATCACTATCATGGATATTACAATCATTACTACTATCATCACTAAAGATGAGCACCATCATTAAGAAGTTGCAACTCGGTAAGTTATAACTCCTTGTAAATTTATTTTAATATAAAAATCCATAAATAGTTGCAACTCAAAGTGTTGCAAATTAAGTTGCAACTAATTCAAAATTTTAAAAATAATTATGGAAACCATCTTTAATCATTACTCACCTTCTTAATCATCACTATCAATATTATTTTTATTATCATCATAATTACTAATTTCTAATTTAGAATTCGATTCATTTAAATCAATTGAAATTTTACTTGTCTTAAAAGATTTTATGATTATTTCATCATGAATTGCTTCCCAAGTATGCATTACTCATAAATATATATCATTAAATCTAGTATAGTGAAGATGTTCTATGACAGTTTCTTCAGCATTACTACTTATTATCCATGTATGCCATTTTTTGTGATGGTTATCTTTAAATAATTTATTTATTGAGACATTTAGAGGTTAGCAAATACTGGCTAGATCACTTAGGATTACTGCTAGATCAAACCTACTCTTTTAAAATTTTCATTTAACTGATTCTTTCAAATAATCTCATATAATAACATTATTAAATAGTTATATATTAAAAGAATTTTTGATGTAATAATTAAAAAATTAGATTTAATATTAAAATTGGATTTAAAAAGCTTGGAAGAATTTCTAATATAATTAATATTATTGATAATAGTCATATACCAATTAAAGCAACTTATTTATTTCTTGTAGCTTATTTTAATAGAAAAGATTTTAATTAAATATTTTACAAATAGTAGTTAATTATAAAAAAAATTCTTAGATACCGTATATAAATTTGTCGGTTAAGTTCTACATATGAGTGTAGAATTTTAATAAATTTTAGTTTTATAATAAATTTAATAGTCTAAATAATTTAGTAGAGGTATTCAAACCTTAGATTATTAGTAGAAAATTAACGTAAACTTTAATTTTAAATATTCAAAAATAAATATTTAGTGAAATATGCATTTGGTTTAGGTAGAGTTTATTATATATACTTCATAATATTTAATAGGATAAATATAATATTTTACTATCAGAAGAGTAATATTATAATATAGAAAATAATTTAAATAATTAAATAAATACTAATAATGAAAAATTAGAAGGAAATATGATTTGCAATTAATTGTAAACTTTTATATTAAAATTCATATATTTAAGATTTTGCAACTAGTTATAATCTAGGTTTCAAATCAAAAAGTTGCAATCTAATAGTTAAGAATTCATCTTTAGAGATACTATATATGATATTTTATGGAATTATAACTAAAAAAGATATAGATAAATATAAATTAAAAATAGATATTTAAAAAAAACTTTTAAATATTATAAAATAGCTGTTATAAAAGAATAATTTTAATTAATAAAATTTCATAATTTTCAAATATATGAATAATATGAAATAATATAATTTTGTTACATTTATAATTTTTTTTACCAATTATTTAATATAATTAAATATAATAATAAAATAAATAATAAAAAAGGTAAATTAATATTATAAACTAAAAAATAAAAATTATAAATTGTATATTAATTAAATACAGAAAAAATAAAGTAAATAAATATATAGATTATGGTATAGTTATGTGATTTATAATCTGAATTTTATATAGATCAAATCTTTAAATTTAAATTTATCTTGATGATTTACTTTTTTATATAAAGTTGTCATTAAACATTTAGTAAGATTATTCAATTAATCAAATAATACTTTATTAAATTATTATTTTATTTGAAAAAGTTAAAATTATTTCATTTGATTTTTTTTTATATATTTCAAATTATTTCTAACATTTTATTTTTTTTATTTTAATTATTTTTTACTAATTTTAGAAAGCACAATTAGATTTTCTTAATCTTATCATCAAAGATATTCTTCTTATAAAATATCAATACAAAATAATGGGTTAAGTGTAGGCTAATGATGCTATTCAAAATCTATTTTAATATGTAGCTTAAAAATTTAGAAATTATTTGAAACCTTTAAATGACTTTTTTTTAAATCTAAAACTTGATAAAACTTAATAGAGTTTAGGAAAATCTATTAGAAGTTTAGGTAAAAATATTTATTATAAATAAATAGTTTTATCTCAAATATTTTAAAACTCAAATTTTCTAAAAATAGTTTAAGAGTAGCATTTTTAGTATAGAACTATTTTTATTTAAAATTGCTTTAATTTTTTCTTTATATTAAATAACAATTAAATTAGATATTCTAAGCTTATTTTGATTTTGCTAATTATATTTTAATAAAATAATAATTAATAATTAACAATTTTAAATAAATATTTAATAAAATTCTTTAACATTTATTTTTAATCAAAAAAACTAAAAAATCTTATAATTTTCTATTTTATTCTTTTACTTAGTAATTTAAATACTATTATAAGACTATCAAAAATATAAGTCATAAAAAATGATTTTACATCTTTCTAAAATAAATTATTTTTTATATTAGAAGTAGTTTCACATGTATATTTTAAATTTTTAAGTTTTTTTTTGTATATAAAAACAAGATAACAATTTTTTAGAGATTGAAACTGACCTAAAAAACCTTAACTGATTAATAATCAGTTTAAAAATTCTTTACCCAGTTAACTAATTGATTAAAAATTCAACTTTTACAATATTTTAATAGTTCTTTTATTTCTATTTATTGATTTCATTAGAACAAATTTGATAAAAAATAATTATCAAAAAAGGGAGATTTGTATTTTAAAGTTAAAAAAAAAATATAAATTAAAAATTGAAAAATTTTAATTATTATATTTTGAAACGCATTTTATTAGAAAACTAATATACTTAAAAAAAATAGTGAAAAATTCAAAAATTATTTTTAATTTTTTATTCCTTATTTTATAGCTTTACTAATTTACTTAGATTTTGATTAGCTGGTATAATTAATATTAGTTAAAGTTATAGTTAGAATTAGGGTTAAGATCAAAGCTTAAATAATTTATCACTAGTATTATACTGATAGTATTTCAATTTTTATTAAGTATTTGAAATTTTTTTAGGTGGAAATATGTATTCATCATTTCTAATAATACTATTCAAAACTTATTTTAATATTATTTAGAAAAATTTTCAAAATCTTTAAAATGACTTTTTTTAAATCTGAAATTTAATTAAATTTAATTGAATTTAGGAAACTAATTAGAAATTTAGGTAAAAATATTTATTATAAACAAATAGTTTAATTTCAAATATTTTAATACTTAAATTTTCTAAAAATAGTTTAGAAAGACATTTTTAGTCACCACTTAATATGTAATAAAAGAATATAGTTAATTAATTATGCTAGCTAATCAGAGCCTGAGGATAAATTAGTAAAATCCTAATCTTATTTCATAAGTTAATTTCAATCATGTTCTTTGTAAATAAGATTAACTATTAATCTAAATCTAAATCTCAATTTAATCATGATTTTGTGAAGATATCTAATATCAAATTAATATATTAAAAACAGTTCAAAATTTTATGATTATAATATAACTTCAAATATCAAAATTTTGCAAATTTACTAATTTGTACTTTAATGAATCTCAAGGACTTATTGTTTTTATTCAATACTTATTTTAAATTATTGCTCATATTTTTCATAAAAATCAGGAATAAATATTATAAACTAAAGTTTGTATTTGCTTAAAACTTGACATACTATTAAAATACTAGCATTGACTTTTTTTTTAGCTCCTACCTAAAATGAAATTAAAATAGATTATATAAATTTTGCATTGTTCCATAATGATTGACTTAAAGATAAATAAAGGTATGCTTTTTTAATTATAATAATTATTAATTTATTGGTAATATATTTTTCAGCATTAAAAATGTTAAATTAAGGAAATTAAGGTGAATTTTCAAGAACAATTTACTGTATATTGAACTATTTTAAATAATAAATATTTTATCTTATCTTTTATTTAATCAATTAATTAATTAGCTATTATTTTCCTATTTATAGTAGTCATTATGTCTAATTTCAGCCGGAATTATACTTAAATTCAAGCTTATGTTATATATTATATAAAATATCATCTACTCTTTATATATAAAGTTGTGAACTAAAGTTCTTTGTTGTTTTATGAAAATTTCTCAATTAACATATCATGATTAAAAAGATTAAAAAGTTTAAACGACTGGATTTCTATCATTTTTTTATAAACTACTATATATATTATTACAGGACTTTCTATTTTCGATGATCTAAGTTCACGAAAAAAAACTTAATCTTACGTACGTCTTCAGGCAGGAAAATTTTTGATAAATTGTGTTAAAACTTGGTAAGTGCTTATGGGAAGATTCATACTATTTCTCATATTCGTGCAACGAAAAACACCAAACATTAATTTTGCTTCATAAATTAAGATTATTATAACATTTGGCATAAAAATAATATTTCGATCATGTGTTTCTTTTGATAAAGAATTACAAAAAGTTACTTAATTTGTGCAAATATTTATTTATTTTATATAATGCACTAATTTTGAATATTTATTTAGCGAAAATTTTATAAAGCACTCATCTTGCGTTTATTAATAAATTTTTTGTGACGTTCACTAAAAATCGAAGTCTATATAAATCATAAAAAGAATTAATTCTTGACCTTAAATAAAAAAGCTTAATGTTTGTGATTTTTTACCGATAGTTATATTACGTTACGAAATATTACGAAAATATTTTTTATAAACGATCGATCAGATTTGCAAAAAATAATAAATAAAATAAATAAATAAAGGGATATAAAACAAAAATGTTGCCAATTAATAACCGAGAAAAGAAAAACGGTGACAAGAAATAATTAGGATATTTGACGAAAAATTATATTTTAAGTGTTAAATAAATTAAAATTAATGTTATTTGGGAATTCAGTAATATAACTGTCTTGAATATTGAAGATTTCCCCATTGGGCAAGTGATAATTTGGTAATTCGTTGCAAGTCGGATAACATGAAAACTCATTCGTGTCATAAAGAGTTTTTAAACAAGGACAGAATTCTACATTTGCGTCAAGTAAGTTTTGACAAAAATTACAAAACAAAAAATCATTTTCAAACTGAACCAGTTCAGCCGGAAAAGACAAGTCATTCATTTGGTAATTATTTGTAGGAAGGGGACTGAAATCAGTGCCGAAAATTTCAACCTCATCGGTTGTTTCATTTTTGAAATCACGATTAATCTCATACTGTCTTTGCCAAAAAGCCTTTTCATCTTCTGAAGCATTCTCCCAGAGTTCAGCTGCGATCTTACTGACTTGAGTCATCTGCATATTTCCATTTACCGTCAAAAGTTTTTTTAATTCATTGCGGAATAACAAGAAAGGATTTGATGTTCTCTTTTTTACTTTTTGTGTTTTTTGTTTCAAAGACCATTGAATTACACGTAAATCGTTATTCATGTTTAAGGGGAGTAAGGATGGGGAAATGAAAGGTAAACAGCAGATAAAATGATCAAGATATGAAGAACAAATGTACTTGACGAGCTGAATTATACAGCGGAAAATTTAAGCATATTTATAATGATATGATCATGATGAATTACATTGAACATTGAAAAATTTCCTTCCTTGAATAAACTTCTAATTTACCACCATCAACACATTCAACATCTGCACTTCAAATCATACGAGCATATTCGTTGACTGCGGAGAATAAACTTCTTTCTTCTTTGTACAAGAAATATGCAAATGGAATTAAGAATATCCATTGGCGTCTTCGGAATTCATTTTCCTCATTCATCAAAGGACACACATTTCTTTTAAAATGGGATTTGTTTATTATTTAAATATGTTCTCATGCAGAGGTATGGTTCATTACGCCAAGAATCTATCAAATTACGCACAACTACTTTGCACCTTATAGGTTTTAAACAATAGTTCCTAGTCAGTTTATTTTTGAATGATTGTCATGCACCCCAAATTCGCATCATTGGTTATTGATATATATATATATAATTATCAAATGTTGCATTAAACTTTAATTTCGATTCGAAAGAGTAATTTATACTAAAAGTGACAGGCTTACAAAGGAATAAATTACAATTTCCAAATTTATACTTTAACAAAATGAGGAAATGATCACCACACATTAAACTGTTACTTATTTGGAAAAATAAAGGGATATTTGTTATATTTCGCCATTTGATTCAAAGGTGTTATTACCCCGGATTTTTTTTTTAATTTAATACCCCAGATTAAAATTGATTGTTCGCAGATGATGTCGATCATCTTTAATTACTTCATGACCTGCAGGTGATGCTTTTTATCTAAGGATGGTATCGGCTCAAAATGAGTCGACTTGAGTCAGTTCTGGTTCCGATTCTAAATTTAGCAGTTTCTGAATCTCCTGAGCTTGGAACTACTTTTAACGAATATTAAAAATAGTACCGGAACTGACGCTCAAATCGGTTTGTGATCAAAATTATGACGGTCACAAAAACTATCGTTTGATGACCAATCAATTTTTTCTTCTAATTGATCTTCATCACATCACATGTTCTACCTGTGTTTTAAATTTGACGCATGTCATGTAGCTCTTATTTTACTAAGCGAAGCCGATGAAGAACGATATATCTCAACTTTATTTAGATAATATCGTTAACACAGTAATCTTTTATTTGTAATTGGTATACTTTAAAAAAGTTTGCTTGAATAAGTTCCACATTAATTCTTGTAATGTAGTTTACATTAAAATTAAGTGTTCGACCAGAATTAAGATATCTGGATTTTAAAATTTCAATAAATTAATAGTGCCGGCCTATTCCTAATTTTAACCGCTGGTGTTAAGCTTAACCGGGACATCGTTAACAATTAGGATTTGCTAACAGGCAGTGAGTTTAATTAAGTTAAACTATGAAAAAAATAAACAAAAGTTAATTAATTGCGTCTTCATTGATATTTGTTATTGAAGAATAATTGCAAACGAACAAATAGTGTTTCGGGCGGAAACCATTTTCTCAAATCCGAAATTTTCGCCCGTGAACTTTCAGTTCGCCTCATATATCCGAAACTAACCTTAATTTGGAAACACTTTGTAGATCAAATTTGGCGAAACTAGTTTCGCCCGAAACATTATAGCAAATATATAGTTTTACGAGAAATAAGAATATATTTTATTTATATATAATTCCGCTCTCGACCTATAGAATTAACGGAAACAAAATAGTACAGATAAATATTGAAAAATTTTGAAATTTTCAAATTAAGAAAAAATATGTGTAAGAAAATTTAATACTTTTATATTTACATTAAATTAATTGCAAAACAAATAAATATACCGTATTTTGTGATGATAATTCGTTCGTTATTCTGTTAATTATTACTAATCGAAAATGAAACAATATTATCGAGCGAGCAATTCAAAATTCTTGTAAACCACAAAAAGAAAACTTTATTTATTTTCTAAATATTTATTTTTTTCTTCACCACCATATATGAATTACAATAGTTTTATAGATTTATAACCCATATTTATTAAAAAAAACAAAGAGCATCACATGACCAAAAACATAAACCTTAACTGGATAAAATACATCTCCAATTTTGGAATGGATTTTTTGCTTGTATTCCTTTCATGGATTAGTAATTTTGGAAATATATAAATATTTTAAAAAATTTTGATCAGAAAAAAAAATAAAATAAAAATTTATAAAAATGACAAGCTTAAAAGAATGGCTTGAAACAAAAGTGAAGGATGAAGATATAAGTTATTTTAATTATAACGAATTCTCCAATGTTGAAAAGGTTGGAGTAGGAGGATTTGGCGCTGTTAATCGAGCCGATTGGAATAATCGTGGAATTAAAGTTGCGTTAAAAGTTTTAATAAATAATGCAATTAATCACAATGACGTCGAAGAGTTTGTCAAAGAGGTAAATGAACTTGTTTGCTTATTAATCCTATATAATTTACACTAAATTTTCGCTCTCTTTACTTTTTCATTGTTAGTTAAAACTACTTCGTAAAGTCCATTATCACCCAAATATCAATCAGTTCCTCGGCATTACAAAAAATCCTGGTGGAAACTTTGTTATGGTTTTGCAATACGCTAATTTTGGATGCTTGAGAGCTTATCTACAAAATTCATTCGATTCGTTACAATGGAAAGATAAACTTCAAATGGCGTTGGACATTACTTGCGGTTTAATGTGTTTACATTCTGAGAATATAATCCATCGTGACTTGGTAAAAAAATTTTTTATTTTTATCATTAAATGTAATTATTTCATTAATAATAACTATCTTATATATAATTTAGCACTCAAAAAACATATTGGTTCATAATGACAGATTAATGATTGCAGATCTTGGTTTGTCCAAGTCAACTAACGAATCAACCTCTTCCTCGATGGTTTGTGGAATGCCTGCATACGTTGAACCACAATGTTATAAAACGAAATATTATAAGCGGGACAAAAAATCAGATATTTACAGTTTAGGAGTTTTATTATGGGAGTTATCAAGCGGTAACACTCCATTTTCAGATCTTGCTCCTCATGAGGTTATTATCGAAATCTTTAGCGGAAATAGAGAAATACCAGTTGAAGACACTCCTTCAGATTATATTCAAATTTATCAAAATTGTTGGCATGATGTTCCCAATTCAAGGCCTGATATTGAACAAGTCCATACACTTTTAACCCAATTGAAATCTCAATTTGAGAGCAATAAACCTGATTCATTGTCCATAGGTAGTTATAATTGCTTATATATTAAAGATACCTCTGTCTTGACAGATAATATGAATCAATCACAAATGGGAAATAAATCTGGTGAGTACGAATGTATTGTATAAAATCAAATGAGGCTTTAGCATTAATTTTTATCTATTTAGATATATCATCGTTGTCAACCACCTTTTCAAACTTTAGCTTAGATTTAGTCGAATCTAAAATTGAAGATGATGGCGAAGACGAGAAAGAAAATTATATAGGATCTACTACTATTGAATTGCAGCCAGCAGCATCTGATTTAAATAATCATTTAAACAAGAACAAGATTAGTAAACATAAAAGGGTATGTTATAATATTAATGTAGCTGAATTTGTATTGATCATAATTAATTTCTTTATTTCATCGTCGTTATTAAGTTCATTAAAGCTAGATTAGATTATCCGGAAGATTTTAGCGATGAATTTGTGGATGTATACTATGAAGTAAAAATCAAATCAGAATTCCTTCTCTTTAGTAATGCTGTGAGAAGTGACATTGATCTTTGGGGAACTGGTGTTTATTGCTCTGGATCTGATGTTTTTAAAGGTATTTTTATAAACATGTTGTTTGAATTTGCTTATTAAAGATAAATCATTAATTATGAGAATTTTTTTTTCGAAAATGGGTAGCGCTTGTACATTCACATCCTATTGAATTGACAGAAACACCCCCACCTTATGATGTAATTGTAACGTTAAAAATTTTAGGTCCACAAAAGAAATTTGTTGGATCTGAATCTAATGGTATAAGTAGTCTTGATTACTATGATTATAATAGAGCTTTTACTATCGAAGATTATGTGATCGAAAGGGAAAATAATGAGATTGATGAAGAAAAAATTTTTGTTTCGAATGTTGAATTAAGTAAAGATCAAGTTATCAACAACAATGATAAAATAGTGTAAGTTTTATATTTTGAACCAAAGTATAGTTGCATATTCTCGACATTAACATTATGATTATTATTATGATTATTTTTTAATTAACAAGTGTGGATAGGATATATTATCCGGAAAATATCGACTGTAGTTGTATTGTGGGTGAATATTACAGGGTAGTATTCAAATCGGGATTTCTAACCATTAAAAAAGCTATTGAAAGTCAATCTGTAATTTGGGGAACTAATGTCTATAGTCAAGATTCTGACCTTTTAAAAGGTATTATATCTGAAATTACTTATTTTATATTTATAATATATAAATATTAATTAATACTACATTTAATATTCGATGCAGCGCTCATACATTCAAAGCCGATTAAATTAACGGCCAACCCACCACCTTATGATATAATCGCAACAGTGAAAGTTTTAGGCAAGCAACTTCGCTTTATAGGATCTTTTTCTAATGGTGTAAATAGTGATGATTTTGACGCGTGGGATAGGGCTTTTATTGTTGAAGATTATCAGATTGTAATGAATCAGATTAAAGATGACGAAGAGATCGATTTAAATAAGGTATATTATGAACAACGTATTCATTTTGTAATTTACAAAATTTGTGATACTCACAATATCGATATATATTATGATTAAAGATTACTAAAATCAAGGTCGACAGCCCAGATGAAATTGATTACACTAACATAGGACATTTTTACGAAGTGGTATTCAAATCAAAAGAACTTACATTTGATTATGTATATAGAAGTGGTGGTGATGATGTCTGGGGTACAAATATTTACTGTGGTGATTCTGATGTTTTAAAAGGTAATTTTTTTATATAAGAATAATGAAATCAAAAAAAAATATCAATTATTGAAGACTTAATAATTTTTTTTTTTGACGTTTTTAGCACTATATCATTCAAAGCCTGTTAAATTAACGGAACATCCGCCTCCTTATGATATTGTAGTAATAGTGAAAATTTTAGGTGAACAACCTTGTTTCATTGGAACTTATTCTAACGGTATTGAATCTCTTGATTATAGTTCTTATGAATATAGTTTCACTATTTTAGATTATAAGATTGATAAACATGACTAAATTTAAGAGATTTATAAAATTGAACATATTAATACATTTTATTCTAATTTTAATCTGTTCGGGTTTCAAAATTAAAAATGATTTTTGATTTATTTAATTTAAAAATTCATAATTACTAAAATTTTCAGTTATATTTTCACCAAATTTGTATCCCGCTATTCTTTTTTTTACTTACTATAAATATTAACTATCATTTACATATTATAATAAAAAATAATGAACATTTTTTCGATTTATTGCAAAATAATGAAATTTTTACAAAAGTCTTTACAGGTTAATACTAGATATTTTTCCACTTTTTAACAAAAATATTCAATAATATCAGATTAGTCAACTCTTTCTATAGCGAATTTTGATAACATATTTTATAATATAACGGTACAGATTTTTTTAAATATAGAAAAATAAAATCTTGCTATACCGAATTATTAATAACGCATTTATTTATAACGAACTTTTTTATAATATAACGAAGATTTTTGAATATGTCATATGTCCTGATCTAAGGTTGCCAGCCTAATTGGAATTTCGCGAAACGTCAAAACCTTAATTAACGTTTCGACAATTGTTTAATGGCAAAATCCCTCAACCAATAGAATCGATGTCATCGGCATTCCTAAAAAAAAAGAAAAAGAAACGTTAGAAACAACTGAAAAAATAGAGGTTGGAACCGGCCCAAAAACCTTAACCGGTTAATAACCGGTTAAATTTAACTCAGGCAGGCACTATAAATTTGGGCAAAACTAGCGAAATTTTGTAATTGAAAAAAAATTTACAGGTTTACTATAAACAATTAAACTTGTATATCCTAAAAAAGAAATTTTAATTAAATACAAGATTCCTAATCGATAATTAATACTTTGTGAGATAATTTTAGGCAGTTACATATTTTACTACATAAGATAATTATCATATTACCTGGGTAGAAACCATATTAGGTAAACCACCTCGTTTTAATAGTTATCGTGTATACAATGATTTCGATTTTTAAATTTTTTTGATGAGAAAAGTTCGTTGTAAAGTTCCCTCAATTCGTCATACTGAACAAATTATTTCATAATTCGTTGGATTCCTTTTTTAAAGAGTTTTGATATTTTAAAGCAAATGGTAGTCTGATAATCACGTGATCAACATATGATATACCAAATTTTTCGTTATATTATACCGAAGAATTCATTATAGTAATAACGAATTTTCAGCCCGGACGCCAGTTTCGTTATATTGAGGTGTGACTGTATATATTGGCGCTCATGGAATTAACTTCCTTTTATATTAATTTATATTGCATTTATTATATATTTCCATCAACCTTTGTATTGTGTACATTTCTATTAATTACCGGTCAGTTTGGAAATTAAACCAATGACTTAACAAAAATGAGTCACATTTGAATTGGACATAAATCACTATGTACAAAGGATATCCGAAAATGTTACCAAAAATGTGCTGTGCGGAAGATGTACCGAAAATGAATCTTTTTTATTTCGACACACCTTATGGAATTGTTCAGAATATTTTTTTAAGGTTACCCCGGACCTTTCTGATGACATGTCGAACATCTATTTTACATAGGGAATGTTGTCGCTATATGACCAAATGTTGAAATTTAAAAAACAGTGTAATGAATACATTTAAAAAGTAGATTACTTAGATTTAAATTAGTCTTAATACTCTTTTCAATGTAGTGGGCTATATTTTTCAATTTTGCTTATGTGTAAGACGAAGAGCTGATCCTTTTAATATCATATTATTTGCTTCTAATAATTTTTAAATAACTGGAACAGAAAATATATTATATAAGCTAATTGCCTCTAAAATTTAACCAAATAAAGTTCATTTATTATCGCACGGCATGCTGAGGTTGTTTGACAATATTTTTTTATATTATACACTATTTAATTAGCATCAATAGCTAATCATCGTACAATATTTATAAGTTATTGTGCTTTGCAACGATTAATATCAAAATTATTGTCAATTGTGATGATGATCGGTTAGATCTTACTGATCGACATTACAATTAGACAATAATTTTGATTATTTATCAGCGCAAAGCACAATAACGATATTATCGTGTGATTTATGATGTTGACTTAAACATCTAATAATATTTGAAGCAGGTATGTTGATATTTCATTTATTTTAGAATTTATTAAATTTTAAAGCATTAATTCAATTATATTATGTTAAATAGCATCAACAATT